TCGTCTGAAAGTTGCAACAAAGTTTGTGACTGAATGGTCACAAACGAATCGATTATTTGCTTCACGCCAATGAATTGAGGGCTCAGTTTACTAATCATAATATCTAAACAAGGGAAGTAAACATTAACTTTGTATCATTTTTTGCCGTCAGATAAAAGTTGATCTTCGCCTAGTTCATCGAAATGACGTGTCTGTTTTTTTTTTCGTTTCTCAATTCGAAATTCATCTTTTCAGTTTCAAAATTCGACATTTGCGCCCCAAGATGTATCCAACTCTATTCCATCGGATTTGGCTTTGTCAAAGTCACACCTAAAGTACTTTAGATCCTTGCGGGCGAGCTGCAGCAATCAAATCCTATGCTTGGCAAAGGTCAAAATCAGGTGTTTGCAGATTTTGAGACACAGCATTAGTCGCGATCAAAAGTTTTGAATGTAATACAACTTGGAATACAAACTCGACGGCTCAAGTTGCACGCACCTTCTCGCTCAGATGCACTTTGGCTTGTTAAAATTACTTTTGATAAAGCTTACAAAACTGCAGCAAATCTGATCCGAATCGTCAAAAGCGAATCATTTCTGCTGGACCATCGTGGAGGAGGCAGACGCTTCAGTTGTGGGTCTGTCCAAATAACTGTCAAGTTACAAATGGGGAAAACATCTTCGCTTCCTCATAATACAATACGTAATGCAAACTTTACACTAGTTTCCTTACGGTAACAAACAAATCGCTTTCTGAATAGGTCTTTAAAGTGTGTTCAATTAGACCAAAAAAATCGTGTGTTAGCATTACATGGGTGCCCCATGTAATTGCACCGACCGAGCTGGAGGTAGTTACACCACTAATAACACAGTTTTCAAAGGCGACAAAATATGTTTGTTATTCCATATGTGCATTTCACTTTTTTTCCTTGGCGCCAATCCTATGGCTCACCATGGCCATTGATTTACCGGTGTTAACGGCTCCTAGGGCCTAATCGAATCAAGATTTTTTATACTTTACGCGGGTCCAGGATAGGTTTTAATTCTCCGCAAATCGCGGTAATAAAACGCAAAATGTCTGAGATAACTAAGCTAAAACGCAAATAAATGCTTTATACGAAATGAATCGCCACTTGACTAACAGATCGCAGCATGTAGCAGAACGGCAGCAGTGACGTTACTCGAATTCCAAGTAGTTTAAGGACGCCTCAGATTTTCGGAATGTCTAGCGACTCAAGACATTTGACGAATGGTGGAAATGTGAAGCGAACCGCTGCAAGTGATGTCTCTCTGAAGAAACCAGTTTTTCATCTCCTCAGCATTTGAAAACTCGTAGGAGTGGGTAATTCAATGTTTGCTCGAACAAAGTGGTGTATTCGTATGCTCTCCGACATTTATGATCTTTCTTGCAAAGCATTGCAGGCAGATGGGAGCCTAACTGCGTACTCCCGAAATTACAAATTCAAAAATTAAAAGAGCCACAGGTAGGTAAGATCTAAACTTGTACATGTAGACGTCCGCGGCTCGAGTTCATGACTTCTTAGCTGTCCAGGTGACGCCGCGTCGTTGGCTGAGAGATTTTTCGCCTGTCATATCGCAGGCTTCTTCAGGGTAGAAACAACTACCCTGACGCACTACTCTGAAGAAGCCTGCGATATTACAGGTGAAACGTCGGTCTCTCAGCCAACGACGCGGCGTCACCCGGACAGCCAAGAAGTCAAGATCTAAACTTATTCTTAATGTTTTAGTGCATGTTTTAGTGCAGTAGTTTATGACACTATTACCCTGGAGGAATATAGAATGGGAGAGGAAACGCGTGTGGCACCATCTACAATGAGATGCATGCGTTAAATCGACAACACAGCACTCTGTGGCCAGAATGGGTACTTCTTGAGCGTTGAAGCAACAGCCTCAGGAGCACGGTACTCTATCTGCTATTGGACATCCAATGTAGATATTAACCTCCGTAATATCACGAATTCAGCTAATTTTGTGCCTATTTAAAAATAACAAAATAATTGGCTTTGGGAAAAGTCAGTTGACAATTGTAAAAAACAAACATGTTTGTTTATAGTATTCATAAAACTACATATATTCTGAAAACAATTTTACATAATATTATAGAGCAATACAACACAGGTTCAAAAGAATAATCTGGTATTGCAGATACTTCATCATTCCATTACTATTAATTGCACACACATTACATTATTGAAACAACTCTTAACGTCCACACGTATCCGTGTTAATGCAATTACTATTTATCTCCAACTTTTCAAGTTACAACACCAAACATACAACTTTTTTATGTTGTACAATTAGCATAAATGAGTTTATATCAACATCAATGTCATGCACATTGGATCAGATGTACTTTGTATTTAGAATCATGTTTGTCATCACTGTAAAACGAATGATACACAAAATAATCATAGTAAAAGTAGATTGTCCCCAAAGGCAAATATTTGACACCTCTTGTATCCGGTCCTAGGGTCTGCAGTTATTCACACGTTAGCAATTAAATTATGGAATCAAACAGCGTTCACCACAATTTACTTGTAAGGAAGATGCGATATATTAGCATATTTGCACTTTGTGATAATCCATGTCGAATAGTTTTGAAAATGTTAATTCAATCAGACCTAACATTTACTTAAGTATCATAAAACAAATACATAAGTATCTTAGCACTAATATATTTTTCAATATTTTATTCAGACTGATAAGATGTGGTTTTTAAATTTATCATTATAGAATTACGAAAGCCTACAAATCTCATTATTTTGTAATCACCGTTACAAATTATTACACATTTCCATGAATTCCTTCCTCAAGACTGTAAATAGGGGAAGAGAGAAACATGTCGTTTAAACCATACGGTTCTTTATCCTCTTCTAGATCTGCAGTTTAGTTTGGAAAAGGCGCATAACCTAATACGAATATAATTTGTTAGTTTAAAACGCATGTTATTTTATCTAATTCATCATATTTTCATTTAGATCATACAATTGAATGGTTAATGAACAGGTAACATTTGTAAGCTTATTTTAAGTACAAACTGCATATGAGTATACATTGTTTGTGGAAAGTTAGTGACAATTTTTGTATAAAAGAAACTTTTATTAAGCTTAGAATACTACAATTGTTTTGCCTATTTATTTACGAATGAGTGGTATTCCTCAAAACTGTCTTACTCGAGGGTATTTCATGCAATTCAGTTTTTTTCTTCTTTGACTTCTCCAGCTGACCGGATTCTATACTTCAGGTAGCAGAACCGGAGCCACTTTGGCAGCTGTAATGAAAACACATATTTGAAAAATCTAATGCAGAAACAATACACCCAAATTTCTCTGGCATTGTATATTACGAACATTACACGTTAGCGCATTCTTCTTATAAAACAATGGCTCGTAAAGCTTTTAAGTTGTCTGAAACGTATGAAATAAGACCATACTAGATGAAAATGAATAGGTTACGAACTAAACCTAATACACTTGATAACAAACTAATTTAATGTTTCCAATGGGCCGTATGGCGGGCAAATGATATATTTTTATTAATTTGATAAAACATTCAAATGCAACAGGTACCAATTTATTTCCCACTCACCTACTGGAACTCGTTATCATAATAATCACTTTCCCGGTTATATTAATTAATATTTCACTCACTCTCCCGGTCCAGAGAAAAATGTGAGGAAACTTTTCTCTTTATCCTACCGATCAGCATTGGCGAATCCTTAACTATGATTATCCAATCATTAACTATAATTAAATAAATAAGACGGTGATATCAAAACTGACAATATTATTCTTAAAAAACATTATTACAATCTTCTCTAATTTTTGACAGTTAAATATTTCTAATTCAAAATCAAAGAACACTATTCATAATCGCTTACGACATCATATAAAAAGATTAAGCCCTCTACATTCTACTTAATAGTACCCACAGTAATGTCATGATAGCCTGTAATATATCGTCAGAGAGGTTTGCTCGTTGGTATCTCTTATTCAGATTCATAACGGGAGGAAATGGACCCAAATATAGTTCTCGCAAGCAGATGTCCAGCATTTGTGTGCAGAATGCCCGTGGAAGTTGCCGTTGTGCACGCCTGCATTAGAGCATTTGCAATCATTAGAGACAACTGGTACGATCTCATTTCTCATATGCATAGAAATGCAATTTAGGCATTAAATCTCGACAACTTTTCTCTAAACGATTAGATAATCTTAGTTTGACAGTAAGTGGAAATATATAAATACTTAATTATCCTCATTCATAGTTATGTCTATTATAGTGATCAACTCAAAATTTTTTATTTTTTATTTTATTGAATCGCCTCTCTAAATTCTGGAAACAAATTAAGGACAACCATGTATGACTGAGTTTCTTGCTTTAAAAACTACCTCAGTTTAGCTTGCAAATTTAATTAAATATCTATACTTACAAGTCAAAATTATCATAGTAATAATGATGGAGGGATCATTGATGCCATATTTCATTTGCTGTTGAGGAATCGAATTGAACTGATATCAACTTTTCAACAATTTTGTTTCTTTAGATCACCAAATGTACAGAAATAATTTTAATTATATTTGTGCGAATAACTTAAATAATTTCTATAAAATTACTACTGAATTTGATTCAGACTATTTTTTAGGATCACATTTTTGAAGTCAAAAAATTGTCTGTATGTTGTTTATGTTATGTTATTATGTTAATGTAACGTGTTGTAACTTAGTTGGCGTTTTTATCGAAGAATTGTACACAACTGGGAAAGTAGTTTTTCGACTATTGGTTATGTATTTTATTTACTATGACAGTCAAATCTTTTGAATCGTATCTTTCATATATTACACATAGGATAATTTACATATATGGATTTTGTTTCTGTAAAATGTATGTCAAAAATCTGTATATTGGCTTATAAATTGATGAAAATCTTTAATCCATGCAGTCAGCCAACATAACATTCCTGCTGATGGACCACATTAACGAAATATTCGTAAAGCATATTACCCGAGCATTGGAATACTGTAGAACCTAGCTAATCTGCACACCTCCAATCCAAAATTTCGGATAATCCGAACAATTCTGGATGGAGGAAAAATAAATAAAATACTTATTTGTAGTGAAAATAAATTGTTTTCTAATTACTGTAAAACTGAACAAGTAATATCATTGAAACACAAGTTGTCAAAATGAAACGTTTTTTGCTCTGGTAACTTATTTCCATAAGGAACTGAATCTGCTGGATGATGCGATCGCTATGCTACGTTGTCATTGTCTGGAAATCCTATAGATGTATTTGTATATTGTACAGTACATGCTTTGGATAATCCGAACATTTCCGTATCCGAACAGATCACCCCCAATCAGTTCGCATTTCCGGGTTCTACTGTAGTAGTATATTCTATACTCGTATTGCTCCTGAATGTCGACAATTTGGAAAATGTGCAGGAGTTCTCAAACGTTCCGCTGGCTTTCCAAGCCGCGTTGCCCTCTAGACGCGCCCTCGCTGAGGCGCCAGCCGTGGAGATTTATCGACAGCAAGTGACGTATGGCCCACCCAACCTTTAATTTGGGCGACGGCCAACTGTGTGTATCGTCCCAGGTGTCCGTCGCATTGCTTTTATCAACTCGCCAAAGGCGGATCTGAGAGCAGGGCCTCGGAGAGGGAGGAAACGAATTTGTTGCTATCACTCCTTAAAAGGTATATGTTTAAAAGGAATCTCATATTAAAATCTACGGGAAATATCATCTTAAAATCTAAATTGGAAATATTATCAGTAATATACATTTGAATTGATTTAAATTATTTGATATATAATCTCTACGCTGCAAATAATGTACGTCACGTTGTGATCGCTCGCTGACATCAGTCACAAGCGAGCGACTGTTTATGAAGACATCTAGATAGCACGACGCCGATGTTGCCGTACATCACACGAATACCTTCGGGTCACATAGGTTCTCCTCAGAGGAGCAAAAGAAAATGAAAAAGGCAGCGAATCGTGAGACAACGGCTTATGCGCACTACGAGACGGAGGGGGATAATCGAGCCTTCCTAGAAGCGAAAAAAAGCAATTTGTAGAGTTCAGTTTAATTAGAAGTTGGAAGCTGACCACTTCTGAAAACGACTCGGATAATGACAACCGTCCTGTCTAGAACTTGGAAGCTTACTAATCAGTCACTTGGAATTTCGCATTAGAGAGGGAGACGACTTCAAAAGTATTCATTTTTCAACATTGTGCATAATCAGTTCCGGAGACGTATCAATTGCCAAGTGTGACGTGTATGCGGAAATAATAATGACAGTCTTGGGTGCAAAGGAATGTCATCCGGTTGGCGTCGTACTGTGGTCCTCCCTCTCCACCTCCCGTTACTGAGGTTTGGTAATCTTAAATGTAATGGTAAAAAACTTGGACATAATGAGAAAATGAATATTTTCTTCCGTTCATAAATGTGATGGTGAAAGTAGTCAATACAAAGTCTGATAGTTTTTTACGAATATGTAGAAAGGGGAGAAAGGTGGAGAACAAAGGAAATATAAATGTTTTATGTGGTAGTAAAGGGGAAAAGACGTATTAAGATAAATGAAGAAACTTACAATGTTTTACACACTTAAGAATTGTGAAGAAAGGGGAATGGATAAATGCAATAAAAGACGGTGAAAGTGTGTGCATGTAAACTTTAGTAATGGTAATGAAAAGATAAATTAAAGAGTTGAGAGATGTTACACAAGTATTTGCCACGCCTGCTTGGCGATGTTATAGGGGAAGGCAGTTATAATTTTGTTAATGTGAGAACGGAAATAGAAGTAAAAAGGGGACATTGAGACACGTAGAGTGACACGTAGAGTGAAAATGTGAAGTGATGTGGTTGTGATTCCTCGAGAAGTGAGAAGTGTATGAACTATTTTTTCTTTCTATTTATTTCTCTCCTAAGTTTTTTTTTTCTATTTGCTTTCAATTATATATTTTCACCTCATGAAACAAAAACAAGATTGTAAAATTATGCAAGAGTAGAATGTTTCATTTGTTTGGCACAAGTTGCAATTCCAAGTCTAGAAGTGAAAACTCTATGCATTTCTTTTTCAGTTTTTCTCTTTTTTGTATTTTAATTACATCCTCACCTCACAAAGCAAGGAAGTAACGTATTGTATAATTATTAAAGATTTGAACGTTTTTACATGATTTGCTACTATGTGTATCGTTCCTTTGCTTTTATCAGAAAAAAAATAAAAAGATTTGTGATATTCAATTTTTGTTAAACGTTATGTGTGCTGTTCTTCATTCGCCTGACGGTCTGTCTAGAACTCCTGGTAAATCAAACCAATCCCTGAGGCCATAGGTAGATGTACGAAAAATATTTTTTTCTACAACGGTAATTCTTGTGCTCTGGCAAGCGCTGCGTGATGAGGCATCAGCAAAGCGCGGGTGACCTTTCACACGGCCCCTGTGGACGCGGTCTTGACGGAAGCGAGTGCGCTGGAACAGAACGTAGAGGGGAGAAGTATAAATCTGCACACGTCTTGGTCACCGGAGTCCTGTCCCTAGCATTTAACAACATAAAGCTGAATGATCAATTACCATATTGCCAATAAAACGAGATTAAGCAGTATTTGAAAACTAAAAAATTTCGCTCGCGAGTACAGCAAACGTAATAAATTCATTGCTTCTCAACGTTTGTGTCATAAAAAATTACAAATCGATATTTAGAATTCACAGCAGTTGCAGTGCTTTCGAAGATATTTATGAATGCATCAACACGGGATGTATGAAAATATTCACTCGTAAGTATTAGAAATTAAATTCAGCTACGAAATTGGAAACTTCAATAACCATCCAAAAAGCTAATATCAGTCTAACTTATCAAAATATAAAGTACAATATTTAAAACTATACCAAACTTCGATATTTTTTTACACCTACTTTGGAAATTGAACTTTACTGAATGAACTGCTTGTATGGACAGCTTCACATTTACTGCCAAAGCCGATACATTTCTAACACTAAATAAAACTAAGTATTAGTTACGCTGACGAGCAAGTGTTTGACACCTACTAGAGTTACGTCTCAGCTTGCAATAGCTTTGCGTGCTCTCCACTGCACTTTTGTTTGTTTGCGAACTATATCATGACGATACGGTGGTTCTTCATTATGAAGTTAATATTGCAAACTAATTAAATATAAGTCCGAGTGAGTGTGCGAATGCATACTCAGCATGAACACACTCGGCCAATGCACACTCTGCCTGCGTCTGCCCCAGCGGGGACTAGCCGGAACTTCAATGACATTCCAGCGCTTTGTTTCCAACGCATATTTCTCAATGTATTGTATCTAGGTATTCCGGTGCAGTTATGTTTAGCTCACGATAGAGTATTTTCAGGCCATTTTGGTGTAAAAAGTTTGCGGAGACTCGTAACCAGAATGGTGTGTTACGTGATTTTTTTAAAATCAGAATGGTGTGCCAAGTGAATAACCATCCACACTCCTTGTACTGATGACTCGATCAACGAAATTGTGTTGACGTTTCCAAATCTGGACTTAGATATCGCGTCATCTCCCCTTATCCGTTTAGGTATCCGTTTCAGAGCCGTAAATTCGGCATTCGCAAGAAAGTCGCGCTTCCGTTCAGCGCTTTCGCTTTCACCCACCCCATCCCCCTCCCCATCCCCCATCCCCCCATCCCCCCCTCCCTCGCACCGGTCGGTCGCAAAAAATCGCGGCATCCTCCCCCTTTTGCTGCCGACGTCGCCGGCCGCAACTCCGCGGGCGCCGGTTCAGTGTGCACTTTACGAGCCGCGCTAATGGGCCAAGTTTTGGAAACGCCGCAGGTTTGGCGGGGCGGGGAGGAAAGGGCAGAGACGGGGCAGGGGCAAAGGCGAGAAGCAAAGGAGGAGATGTTGCGATGTGGGTGCGAGCTCGGAAGAGCACGTCATCGGAGAAGAAGTGGTACGAAAAGGGCTGCGCTGTAATTACAAGGCGTTCGCTTCAAGGTAAAAGAGGGGACGTGGATATTGCAGCATCCGGCTAGTAACGTTAAATGCAACAACGAATAATGTGGAGGAAGTTGATGTGACGAACGTAAAGTTAATTAGCAGTTATCTGTTTGTGTTAATGAGTGGTAATGCGAAAATATTTCTGATGAAGCCTCCCCCACCACGGCAAACTTTGATCAGTCCGATTCTTCCAGCTTTTGGTGGTTACGGGTCGTGGAAATACCCTCAGGTACAACCAAAACTATAGTTCCCACAATTATCAATGAATATACAAGATTTTTTAAAATATAATCAATAATAACTACAGATGATATGGTTTTAAGGAAAACTAAATTAACTTTTTTTAGATTTTTTTTAAATGTTAATTTTTATTTTTACATTGAACCCCTATTAAGAAAACCACTCGAGATATTTCACCCATTTTGGAAACACACCTGAAAAGTAAATAAATAAATGTGTGAAAGGATTTTTGATGGTAACTTTGCATAAGTAAGGAAAATTAAAAACTATATTTTAACTTCTTATCTTATGCCTCAAAATGCAAGAAAAATGATCATAAAAATGAACTATTTGAAAATTTAAAAACTATTGCACAGAAGTCTGTATTTTGTTAATACAAACATATCTTAAGAGTTTCGAGGTTCTAACAGTTATAGTTTTTCATTAAAAGGTACATTTGTCACAAAAAATGCTTTTGCGATAAATCAAGATTAAATATAATATGACCATCGCTGAAGAAAATTAACACCAAAATGTTCTAAGATCATAATAGACTTCCTCATCCTCATATTCTTCTTCCTTCCTTTTGTTTGTTCTCGGACAATGCGATATATTACTGGGTGGAAAATAATAGAATGACCAGAAATAGCTCCAACAGCAAGTTCATCACTTTTGACAGGGGTCAAAATTACAGAGAAACAAATTACCGGTGAAATAAAGACAGTATTCCGAGAGTTTCCTCATGCAAATACCTAGGAATTCATTTCGATAGTAAAATTAAGCTGGAAAAGTCACGTAGATTTTGTTGTAGGGAAAGCCTGGAGATCTCTTCACTTTGTAATACGTACCTTACAAAAGAGTACGGCAAACG